CATTTTTATCAGTTTATCTGATGTTGTAACACTGATGTTACTGCTTTGGGTCATTTAAATGGGTAAAGCACTGCGTGGTGCTTTGCAGGCTTACCTGGAACATTACTCTGCCCTCATGCACGTCTTAAACGATGACTACAGACAACAAGCACACAGCTCATTTAAGGTAGTGTCAGCAGGTTATGGTTAACCCGAACCATGTACATTTTCACACCACCAAGCTGATCTAAGAAATCCAACCAGTCTCTGAGGAAGCCGGGATGTATTTGCAGCTGCCCTGGCTCGGGACTGAGCAGGAGAGCAGCCGTGCCGGCATGGCACCGGCTCCATGCTGCACTCACCTTCTCCCTTACGAGCAGTTTGTTTTTCCAGGACCATGAAGATTCCATGGACTGTTCGTAGCTATGGAAATAGCAACGTCTCTACAATTCACCAAGAGGTTTTCAAGCAATTGCCGAGTGGGCATTTAGCTCTTCAGAGGACTTCTAGCAAGGCACCGCAGTCAACGTTGAAGTAGCTCTCAGGGAAAAAATATTCAGACAAGCAAATGATTGAAACTTCTGCTAGGGTCACGTATTGTGGTGTGGCCATACATAAAAGGTGCTGTTTTGATTAGCCCAGGAGTTCACGTAGGCCACTGCTCCCCGCCTTGTAGCAGCTGCGAGTGAACACGTGGCAAGTGAGCAAGAACATGAGCAGCTCGCAGTGATGCTTCCCCCTGCATCCAGCCACATGAGCTTAGGGGCTCCGCTCAAAAATAAATAGCAGAATTCCACTGATTTTGTCTTCAGGGGCTTAGGGCAAATCATGGAAGTTTAGGATGTTTACAACAGTTTAAGGAAAAAATGCTCAAACTGGGAGAGGAGACACGCTATTTTAGCTGCATTAGTATTCACATTTCTACTGCCGCTGCTCGAGCAGCACTGAATTTTCACAGACAGCACAGACTGCCACCTCTCCAATAAGCCAAGTTTCTTTCCTCATCAAATATTTGCTTTTACTCAACAAATTACTTGAGCTGCTATGTTTATTCTCTGCCTTTTAAGAGCTCCTGTTCTGCATTTGAGAAAAGCCTGCAGCATTTTCAAAGTCTGGGATGTATTTCTGAGCCAGCTCTTTTAGTACTTCTCACATTTCCTATTATGACAGAACTAAGCATATTGCCAAGCTATTTCGATTTTCCAGCTTTCAGTCTTGCTAGTGAAGTGAAGTAATAGCAATATGATCAGGTAACACCTCTTGAAAAGACGTGTGCTGGCTCATTGCTACAATTTAGTATTACTCTTGTGAAATCAGTAATTTCATTACTCATTCTCCGTAAGAAAAGACAAGACATTGGTGATTTTGGATACAGGAATTAGTTCAAAAGATTAATTTGGTAGAAACAGAAAGGAAATGGAAATAGAAAATAAGTTGTGAAAATTGTTGTGAAAATTGTATCACCATGAGTCTAAAACTCTCTGAGAAGAGCATGTAATACCTCCTCATCTCCAAAGGAGAACCCAGGCTAGCTGGATCAGCTCTGGCCCATGATATAGTGTGTTCTTATTTATCCAGTGAAGGTGATTCCAAAACCATGCACTAAGTCCATTTCAGTACCTCATCACTCTTTAGATTTTTTTTTTTTAGATTTAGATTTTTTTTTAGTTTTAGATTTTTTTTTAGTTTTTTTTCTAATATTCAATATTTTCTCCTTTAGTTCAAATTAAACCTAGTATTTCTTGTTCTACTGTGCATTTTATGTTTATCTGTTGATTTTTTTTAGTAAATTGTTATGCAGAGACATCTCTGTACAAGAAAGACTGGGGACACGGTATAAAACAAACACAAACCTCCTCTCCAAACCATGTTTTCTAAGCTTCCTTTAGTCTTGCTGCCATCCTTAAGAATCACTTTTATTTCTCAGTCATGCTACATGACTGAGAAACTCACAGAAAGCTACATATGTCTGACCAACACCAAGCAAAACAATGGAAATACTTTTTGTGTCTTTCATGATATTCCTCAATGCAGAATTGTATTTATTTAAATACTTTCCATTTATTGTAACCCCATATTTTTTTTCTGTAGCATGACTGCCTAGACATCTGTCCTCATTTTGCATTTGTGCACTTGACGTCTTCTTTGTACAGACATCATTAATCACATTTTAATCAATCACATTTCTTCTTGTTGATTTCTCCAACCTAGTCAGTATTCTTAACTTTGATCTTGCCCATCCATATGCTTGTAACTTCTTTCGACATGCAGTAATTAAAAAGCTCTTGTGAGCACCATCACGGCTGCATGCTGAAAGAAGCTCTAGAAAGATTCTGGTTTTGCCTGTTATGATTCAAGTTATTGCTGCAAATGCTGATTAGCTCCTGCGCCAAAATAGAATCTTCCTGTGATCACTCTTCCGACTCTGATAAGCATTCATTAGTAGCCATTGGTTACTTTTATTCCCTAGATTGCGTATCCTTATTTTATATGAAAGCATAGAAAGAAACACTTACTGTAAAATTACATTTCTTCTATTTCTCATTCATCCATTTAGTCAGTTGTTCTGCCAAAGAATAAAATCAGCATCTTTGACATATGCTCTTGGTGTATGGTGGGTTTTTTTATATGTGTATATATATATAGATAGAGATGATGCAGAGTGTTTTATTGTAAACACTTACTGGATAAATGTCTTTTCTGCCATTTCATTACTTATTATTTAGCTAATAGCTCTCTGGATGTTGAGTGGAGCTTGATGGGCTTACAATTCCCCAGTCCTGCTATCCTCCTTCTGTAAAGAGTAGCGGGGGAGAAAGGATAGCAAACTTCTTGGATTACAACCCCCTGCAGCCTTTCCCATCATGCAGGAGCTCTTATTTCCCATACATTCCCCCGAGATAACTACTACTGACACTTCAGAGAAGGATTTGTTCTAAACAAAACTGAAGAAGTCTAGAAACTATTTCAAATTGGTAATAACCTATATCCCAAAGGCACAAAGATTCATTATTCCTGAAGATGCTGAGAAGATAAAATAAACAAGATCTGAGGGCATGCTCTTTTTAGTACTGTTAGTTTTCTCTCCAGGAAAATATACCAGTACATATACAGTGCATGCTTTCACAAGCTTCTATTTCTTTAAAAATATACACACTTTTGCCCCTAATTTTGAACTAGTAAGACATAAAAAAAAATATATTACTGCTAGTAGCTTCAAAGTGTGAAAGCCCAGGAAAATACTGCAGGGGTCAGGACACAAAACTCTACATTGTAAAAACTGTTTTCATGCATTTTCCTTTATCTATTTGTGCTTGTTCACAAAGACGCCCTTTTAAAGAGATTTAGTATTCGTGGCCAGTCTTCTTACTGTATCCATTAGCAAACACTAAACGTGAAAGCCAGTTCCTGAGCAAGGCAACATGAAGATGTTTAGCTTTGCTTCCCCTAGGCTTTAATGTGGATTTTTTTTTCCAACTTGCACACAATTAACATTGAACAAAAGGCATTTTTGTAAGGTAAGCATTTCTGTATCCAAATATACACCACCAAAACAGAAATGAGAATTGCGGCAAATTAGACTTGGCCTTTTGTCTCGTGTTCAATCCAGGTTAGAAATGCCCTAGTGAATGTATTGCAGGGGGTAAATCTGTGTAAGTCCTGCCCTCAGATTTCAGCAAAATTAACAGCATTGGAACAATTTTGTATTGTTTTGTACCAGCTATCTTTCCTGTTTCCCAGGCAACTTCAGAAGCAAAGAGTGACAAGTTCCTATGTATTTATATAGCTTCCACCGGAGTCAAATAAAAAAGAAAAATCAGAATCAATAATTTTGAATAAAGTAGGCTTTATTCAAAGCCTGGCATTGCGATTCAGCCTTAATAGAACGTAATGACAAGGCAGGGGGAAGCAGGGCTTTTGCTGCTACTCGAACAGAACCTGTCTCCAACAAGGAAGGTGTGTGCCCACACCCATGTATATGTGCACACACACACCTATCTATACGTGCACCGCACGCATCTAGAGCCCCCGTGCGCCCCGGCGGGCGCGCCGAGCCGA